CTCCAAAGACGTGGACCGGATAATGGACCAATGTCATGATCCAATTCTGGAGGCGGAAAAGAGCGGGCAGTTTGACACTCAAGTATGATATACACCAATCTTTATTGCCTGGGCTTTTATGCATGTGATTAGGCTTATTTTAAATCTCAGCTTTCGTTAAAATCAAAAGATGTAGGAAGTCCCTAAAACGGCATTTATTGAGGGAAGTAAATAGTTGTCGAGACGATGCTTCTTTCAGAATATCATTTTGCGAGCAATGATGATTATAATATCCTGATAAATTAAAAAAAATGTCTGGATATTTTAATGCGAAGAAAAGTTGGGTTTCGAGGACTCTCTTGTTTCATAATTGTTGTGCTTAATTCCATTTCGAGTGAAAGTGTTTGGTAAAGAGACTCGAAAGTCGATTCCACCAGAAGACGACGGCGGATTCCTCTTGACTCGTTAGCTTGAATTTGGTAGTGACGATGATAGCTTGCTCTGAAGATGTTCGCCATATGACGGACGAAAGCTTAGCACCTTTTCACCGGAATCGAAGAAGATTACCTCGGAAACAGCATCAGCTGGTCAAGAGGAATCCTCCGTCGTATTCTGGTGGAATCGACCTATTTTTAATGCGCTGCAATGTACCTTGTATCCCATATTGGACTAAAACCAAACCTTTTTAGGTACAAGTGAATTCAACACACACGGATGGTAATTAGTCTTGCCCTCCGACCACTGATTAGATTTAATTTATCAATCCTCGTAACTGTAGCCTCAAAAACAGGACACTACTACTAGCTTCTCTTTTAAGCGTATTTTATAAGTATCACCATTCCTTCAGCTATCCTTCTTATAGGCTCAGAAAAAAAATTGATGAGATGAAAGAAGATGAATAAGTGTCAACTGGATTCAAGAGAAGCGGTTACCCTGGGGATGTATCAAGTGCACACTACCATGATCCACTAATAAAGTATATGGTTCTCCCGATATTATATCGAATCCGTCACATCTTCGAGACTTTTTAACTGGTCCAGTTTCTGATGGTAAAGCTATCTGGCTTGTGAAAGAGTTTCGACTTTATCCTGCTTGAATAAGTGGCAGCTGGTGTAAGATCTGTGTTGGCCCAAACTTCAGACTTTAGACGTATGAAGATATGAAGACCAAGATATTGTGGCCTCTGGTATGGTCGCAGACGTATGCATTTTTAAAAAAAGGCTTAACCCTCGAGATCTTATTCAATAACCAAAATAAGTACGTATTCGTCATCAAGTACGCAGGCTTAGTCCGAATAAATATAGAATATTTAAAAGAAAAAAATTACGAAAGAATTTCCTTTTAATTTATCATGGCTATTTTTACGTATGCATTCAGAAGTTTGATCAATATTTGAGAAGACAAACTTAAAATGGCCTACTTAAAATGACAGACAATAGAAACCAAATGGAGACGATTTTTTCAACATTTAATGGATACGTCAAAGCTGACACTTGACAACTTCGGTGGTGAAGACAATAAATTATATAAATACGTTTTGAGATTTGTTAAATTAGCAAATAGCTTGCCTACTTGGGTTCACAAAAAATGTCTTTTATTTTTGATATGACAACATGCCTATTCTTGTCAATAAGAGTGGTAAGACGAATTGGTTAGAGAAGTAATACAAGACTGCTTGTTTCACTCACTTGATAGCTCGATAGAATATATTTGCTATAATAGATGGCATACACCTCTTGTAACCACAGCACGGGATTACTACTGAATTGATTCCTCACAGTAGTTAATCATTTAGTAATAGGATTCGCTCAGAACAGGGCAACTTCTCTATGACGTATCCTTCAGCTGAGTGAAGTATGCGAGTGCACATTATAATATTTTGCTGATTGCTTAGTGCTAAGCCTCATGGCGATATAAAACGGAGAAAAGTATTTCATTTGCTGCTATTATTTCAGTCTATATTGGCCTTTTTGACATGAGTTACTGACGAGATTAACAGTAATTCTCGAATAATAGCTTAGTCAGCCAAAGTCGCATAAAGGGATCTGAGGACTGGTAGAGAATTTTTGCTCAATGCGATGAGTAGACCTCAAAATCCTATTGAATTTAGATTAGCCGTTCCAAAAGACTGCCTCTAGTCCAGGCTGGACTTTGATTCTCAGCAGTACTCAAACCCGGGTTCGAATAAAAGGGATGTGAGCATCCTGGCAGCATGATAGGACTCCACCAGTGTATTAAAAGAAAATGTTTCATTTGGGGCAATCCAGGCGCCTATCCCAAATAAAATTGATGATGGGAATTTTTAATGAGCCAAACATTTATAATTGACGTTACTTAGTTTCGATGTAAGTGCGTCTTGCAACTTTAAATAGCTATTGAATAAAACGTTAGCCTAACGATTTTTCGTTTATCAGTAGATTCTAGAGACTACTAGTACATCATATATATGAAGTGTATTCAGCCTATTTAGTTTAAGGTGATAAGGAGACAATGATATGAATATACCTTATGTTAAAATTAAATTTCACATAGCCTCATTTTCCTAAAAGGTATTCTTATTTTGGCTGTAGTGGACTGCCATTTCGACCTCGCCTAGGCCCATTGGGACTCGGACCATGACAATACGACATATAATCTCGACACGTTAACCACTGTTCCAAGTTGCCACGAGTGCCCTTTAGTAACAGGGCAGGCATGAATCTCAGGAGATTAATCGAAATTCAGTTATTCTTTGTGGCAGTCTTTAAATCAGCTAAATCTCCAAGGGGTGATTACATTTTAGTGTATCCATGATGTGAGTCTATTCGTGTGTGCATGTAAGAATGAGGCGTTGACGCATACGCATATGATATAAATGTTGCATCATCCCCGTTTCCTCTGGGCTTTTCACCTCACAACCAGTATCCCAGCTCCTTTTTCGAAGCCGGTGCCCTCAGTCTCCTCGACCAGCTGCTGCTACTCTCTTCTCTGGCCTCCCGACTGAAGGCGTCAACTGAATCCGACCCGAAGCCGCCTGGAAACGTGAAATCTTTGCTATCTCGCTTTGCAAAAACCAATGGCAACCCAGACCGACAGGCCGGCTTCCTCTCCCGACCAACATCTCTATTCGGCCGTACCTCGCATGAGTGGGCAAGACACACCTCGGCCTGGCCCGGCTGGAGGGTGTGCCCTCCCCTGTATCCCGTTGCCACGGCTCCCCTGTGGACCGCCAATCAGACAGGGATAGAGCATCCCTGGCGGGCTCATGCACGCGCCAGACCCTCACACACAGCCTCCAACAGTGCTTGTTCCGCAGAGGAGGGCTGCTCCTGCATTGTGCTCACGGATGGCCAGCAGGCCGAGCAGTTTGCCATGTCCGAGGTACCATCGTCGCCGGCCGCCACTGGCAGGTTCAGCGTGGAGGCTGCACAAAAACTAGAGGCCGCAGACAACCTTCATCATACCGACCTTGCCCATCCTTCACCACCTCTTCTGTCACCTCAGCTGTCGCCGCCTCCGGAGACGACGGATTTTGTGCTCTTCACACATCCAGTAAAGAGCTTGTTGCCAGGAGATGTGGCGGCCAGCATTGACAACGAAAAAGCTGCAAAAATATGCCACTATTGCGTCAGAGTAGGAACAATATAATTGTCACATAACCTCCTTTTTTCTGAGTTCCAGACACTTTAGAAACCATTCTTTTAGGCCAAAACACAACTCAAGATATTAGATGGTAGTTGAATTTTGCCACAATTGTATGAGTATAGCTGACATTTCCATTGACTTCCACATAGCTTTACTTTCCAAAAAGGTGTTTTTATCCAGATATGACTGCAGCTTCCACCTCGCCTAGGTCTTATCAACACCTCCAGCAGGACTCAAGCCCTGATCGCGCAGTATATAATCTCGACAACTTAACCACTACGCCACATTGCCACGAGTGCATTTGGATCAAGGAGCAGATGTGAGTTTCAACAAAGGCCATGTATGAATATATGAAGACCAAGATGTTGTGGCCTCTGGTGTGGTCGCAGTCTCCTTTCGAATGATAGAAGTGGGTTGACCTCGTTGTCGCAACTGGGTCTTGTTTTCAGAGAGACCATGTAGAACGCACCTAGTCCGAAGTCGTCTGCCATAGATAGCATCTGACCGTGGACTTGATACATTCTCAGACGTTTCGCCGGCCTCGTAGTCGGCATCATCGTCTTGATTCCCAGCATCTGACAGTGGACTTGATACATTCTCAAACGTTTCGCCGGCATCGTAGTCGGCAATTCCCAGCATCCGACAGTGGACTTGATACATTCTCAAACGTTTCGCCGGCATCGTAGTCGGCATCATCAGTCAGTTTTGCCCTTCGCCGCACCAAGC